TAAGAATCTCTGTCAGTGGAAACAGACTGTGACAAGTAAAGGAACATGACCTTTGACTTTAATTACCTGTATTATTTTGTATTAAAATGATCTCGTTAATATGGCATAAATTTAGCAGTATAAAGTTAGTGTCAACCACAACTTTTTTTTCTTCTATAACAGGGGATGATATATGGCCCTTTAAAACAATTCAAAATTGCATGATCCTTTTATTACGAGCCGAACACATATTCATACAGTCCGCCTAGTTATAGAAGAAAAAAAAGTTGTCGAAACGAAGACAAATTCAAACTCAATTTTTCACCCAATGAGGGCCACGAATATTCTACAAATATTGGGACTTTGTCTTCGAAATACATGTACATTGTTTACCTTCCAGTAAAACTTGATTTACTCCAATTGCAATAACACAGAAATAGTTTTTAATCGAGTCAAATTTATGGTTTTTTTTGCATGTTAACCAGGTTAAAATACCAACTTGAAGCAGATTTTACACAGGTCAGAAATTATAATTAAGCTTCATAGCAAACTGTTTCCGGTTTCAAAATGTCGCAGAATGCCAAATAATTTGTCATTTTTTCTATTATATATTGCGCTTTTTTTCACAAAATGAACAGGCCCAGGCCCTTTCACAATTTTGACAATAAATGCCCTGAACCATATATCAAGATTATACATGTATGCATGGGTGGCCATGATTCCTTACCCTCAGCATGTCACAGAGCTAGATTGACACACTGTATTTTCTAATGCTCCATGTATTCTACATTGGAATAAATTTGGCAGTTAGATTTAATTTACTGTTAATGTTTAAAAATATCTAACTTTTTTCATTCTTAGCGAACATTTGTTGAGACTTTATGCATACACAGTAACGGTGTTGACTCTAGGACCGCGACAAATTAAGGGTACTCATCATTATGTACATGTATTTATATATGATATTGTACTCCCATGGCCAGTTTACGTTGTCTTTCTAATCTTGGGTCAGACTTAGAGGTGTTAGGATTTTTGTATCCATATATCGGTAATGAATTATCGGCTATACAGCGATATATTGATTGCCAGGCAAAATTTTAGCTTTCTAGTCTTTTTAATACTTCCTAAGGACACTGACTATGCAGTTACATTTAAACACATGCAAAAAGATAAATAAACTACGAAAACTGAACAATTTGTTTCTTTTCTTATCATATAACTATAAATGATAACAAATGACTAGTTACTATAAAGTTAAAAGCTTTTTCCATTTTAATTTTGTTGTTGTTGTTGCTTTTACGAGGTTACAGATTATGTTAAATTCCATCCTTGCCGTTCCAAGTTAGCCAGGGTTTAATTGGCAAATTATAGTGTATAATAGTGAATAATTATGAATGTTTAACATTTTGTAATGATCATTTTAAAAAGAAACACTGACAAAGATTTTCTTGGCATTTTCCCTTTCTAAAATCTGAATTGGGTGATCTTGACACCCACTTAGCAGACGTGCGAGATGGCATTGAAATTCGGCGGCATTCGTTAGAGACACTGGGAGATAACTTTATCGTTGATTTCTGCTTTCGTTTTGAAATATTGTAACCAGTTTGTGTTAGTTCTGGCTACTTAATATGTCACTTTTTTGATGTTTTGCAACACTGAACAGTAAACAGGTCTATCAGTACTATAAAACCTGTTTGCTGAAGTCTCTTTAGCTAGAATTATGTGTGCATTCGATATCCAATATTTAAAAAATGGCAATAACTCAAATATTATGAAGCACAGAGTAACGCTTCTTGTGCACTGCACTTCGGGTCATTGAAAGAAGCATGCATACCAAGTTTATAGACTTATAGTGATTGAGTTATGATTGAGTTAACCCCTATATGTCGCCTTTTTAAGGCGACCCAAAATGGAATCTATATTGAATCTGAAAACAAAGATCATTGATACACCGATATCGATTGTATTGATTACACCCTTAGGCACTAACAAAGTTCTATGCTCCTGCGTTTATGAATAAATTATGCAAATGAGCCGCCATGTTGGAGTTTCGGTAAGCGTGTTGGAAATTGCTACCTGTTCGTTTTGAAAGCTCGTCCTAACTTACAATTTCCTTGAATGTATGAAAACTTGGTTTTGTTTGATTGCATATTGAATGATAGGTTATTGCAAAAATAAATATTAATGAAATCGATCAATAAATAATGGTATACTAGCGTTATTTTAAAGTCAATATAATTCGTCAGAATAATAAGGTTTCTGTTGCAGCGGTATCGGTAAAAGACTTTGCTTTTTTTTTTCCCCGTTTTTGAAATTTATTTGAAAAAACACGGAGGAGACAATTTTTTCTTTCAAACAGATTTTATGAATATACTTAACGTTGCAAAACAGAGTTTAACCCCACTGTGTCCATTCCTTATTTAAAAATTGTCTGAGAAGTTAAATCTGTTTGTTACATGTAAATGTGTTTTACCGTCATTTTTGACCGAGTGGGAATAAAAACTTACCATGACGGTGATAATACCGGATATGTAATGAAAAATTACGTCGTGTAGTGCAAAGTTTTGACATTTGCAATTAAAAATTAACACTTACATTGACTCAAAAAACTGTTCCTTGTCAGCAAAAAAATTGAAAAACCGAAAGTAGAAAGGGTTTTTCTAGGGAAAATTTTAAACGGGAAAATTTAAAATTGGGGTGGGTTTTAACCCCCCCGCGCATGCCCCGTCGAAAAAGTATTGACATTTTCCGGGCGTTTGCATTTGGGGAAAAGGGGCAAAAATTTGTTTTGTGTTAGGGTTTTAGTTTTATGTTCGGCTTTTTTATTTTTTTTAAGTTTCAAAAAAGACCCAAAAAAAAATCAAAACCCAAAATTTTGAAAAAGGTATTACAAGGGATACAAACTGAAAATTTTAGATCTACATTTCTTTGGCCTTTATCGTTGGGGTTTTATGTTTTCTTCCCACTTTTTGGTGGTAAAAAATTGGGCCCCCGAAAGACCCATTGTTTGAAATTTATTTCACAAAAAAGGTTAAAAAAAATTAAAAGTGTTTGCATCAAACAGAAAGGGCCCTAAAAAATTTCGAATTTAGGAATTGTATTTTCAAATTCTAAATTTAATGTAGAAAAACAATTGGGGAATTTGCTCCATGTTGTCTTGTTTTAAGGCCCCGCTTATGATTATTTGAAAAAATAATTAAATTTTTTACGACATTAATACCCATTTTTAAAGTATTGTCAAATATATCCACTAAAAATCTGGAAATAATTTTGTTTTTTAAAGTTCAATAAAAAAATAAAAAATAAAATTCAAAAAACTTGCTATTGCTATTATTTTCACCCCAATAAACTTTTACAATTCATATTTGAAACCGATTTACGATTTAAAACAGGAAGTTGGGAAGATTTTATTTTTTTTAAAGTCAATTTTTTTTTTCATTATGGAAGATTTGTCCAAAAACATGGGGAAGGACATTTGCACTTCGTTAAAAAAAAACAGGAAATAAATTCAAAAGCTAAGAAAAAGGTTCCAACACCCTTTTAGCATTTATTCCAAACTTGTAATGAAAACACCGGGATTAAAAAAGATGGGGTTTTAAAAATTAAAAAAGATTTTGCCCCCTTCCCTAAAAATCGCCCCCGGGCCAAAAAATTTTAAGGGGGGGCGATCGTTTCCCAAAATTTTTTATTGCCCAAATTTAAATTTATTTAGCCCGAAAAGATACAAAAAAAACTAAACCAAACTTTTCCTTTTCTCAGTAAATGAAAAAACCCCTAAAATGGGAAAAAGGGGGAAAAACCTCAAAGCGAGCTCGAGTACTCTTTAACAATGGGAAATAAGTATGAAATTAAATTTCCTCATTTTTATTTCAAATTGCAAGTGACGAGTGCGTTGACGTTACACGTACTGGGTTAAATTTGGCTTCAGCCGCCTGCGTTTAAATGCGAATTTTAACGGAGTTTTGAAAACATTGAATAAAACTTTGTTTATTTTATATTCACTTTTATAATTTTTCATGCCGCGAAAATTAAAGATTATTAAAAGTGAAATAAATGTTAAAACTTTAAAACGTTTTTTGCGACATTAAAATAGCGTACTTGATTTGTTTGTTTTGCACGTGCTGTTTGGTGCTACACTTGTGACGTCACGTAAACAATACTTTAAACGTCTGTACAGCGTTAACGACTGAATAAAAGATATTGGTGTTCGGATTCAAATTTTTCTTAGTTAGACCATTTTCTTTCATTCTAGATTCACAACAAAAAGTCGACAAAAAATTGTTTTTATTTATCAGACTTTTTTTCAAAACAAAATGGCGCCCTTCAATTTACATTTTCCGTTTTAAAACTGTCATTCGATATTTTATACACAGCTTCCGTTATTCTGGTTCCCTGTCCAATTATGTTCCCATAGACGTTGCGCGGGGTGACCAGTCTACACATCCGTTTTCAGTCAGAATTCCTCAGTTTTTATCATTCTCTTTAAATTCGAAAGGTTGCGATGTGTCCAATTCGGTACTTTTGACGAAAGTTTTCAATACCATCACTTAGCAGGTACTCGCGTTACCGTAAAGCTCGCTTTGCGAGCAGGCCCTTCGGGCCAGCTCGTCGAGCTCGCTATTAAATGATTAAAAAGGGCAATCACTAAAGTACACTACATGATAAATCACATCATTAAAATGGCTGTGTAGGATTTCCATGTATTGGACTGTTTCAAACGGGCGGGTCTTTAGCAGGGGGTTCAAAATCCAATAATGTCACATTCCATGCTATTCTCCTTTGGTTGGTATGGTGGTGGGTTCATTGATTTCTTTTAACACATAATTATAGTTTATATATGAGTTAAGTTAATTTTGTTTAACTTGATCTGTATCTGTGAGGGTACGTCGTAGAGACCAAAATCTGGCTTTAACACGACGGTGAGGGGAGTGAGTCTTAGTCACAAAGTTTTACAGAGTTTTTGAATTGTTGATTACCATATGCATATAATAAAATGTTATTCATTTTATTTTGAATAGGAAATGAGTAACCTATCATTGTTGAGAGATGCTCTAAAGAAAAGCAACACCAACACAGAGATGATATGCTGGCATTCAGATTCACAAGTTTTGAAGGAACGTCTACGTAGACTTGAAGCCAAACTATTGTACCTGTTTACAATGAAACAGAAAACTTGAGGCGGAGACAAGAGAGTATCTTTTTTAATGAAAAAAGAAATCATTGATAATGTCAATGACAGATAAGTAAAATAACTTGACTAGTTGGGTTATCCTACTCACTCTTGCAACCACTTCTTTGTCACTCTTGTTTACAGATTTATGTACTTCTTTATAACTCATTTACAAATGAAAGCTTGAAATTTTGAAATTTCTTTTGGATTATACTTTCTGTTAAATGTACTCATAAATCTATCAGTTATTTTACCTTCAAAGTCAATGTCACAGGGACCAAAATGATTTTTCTTTTTTATAAGAATAGGACTAAGATAGCAGTAATTTCAGATTTGATTCAAGTGAGAGATTTAAGGACCATCATTGGCCTTTCATAACATAAATATCTATTCATAAAATTGGTTCTCTTAATTTGCATATATATATTCATTATAATTATTCACTTAACTTGAATACAGATATAGATAAAACAATGACAACATTAGATCATGTCTTAGGATATTACCATATATCACAAGAAGCTGAGATGATGATCAAGGATGGGTAATACCTTTTCCTGTAGAATGTTTTATTAATTAATTAACCCAGCAATTCTGTAATGGACTTGTCCTGTCTTGATGCTGGAACTGTCCATTGCTACATTAAGGACTTTCAACATCGAAATACTATTTTAGTATTATTTAGTAACTACATAGTCAGACTGCACAGACAAAGGGCTGTTTTTTTCCCTTTGCACAAGTACCCAGAGAGATAGATCATAACAATTTTTCATTGTTAAGTATTTAGGTTGTGTTCAATCTTTGCCACCTTTACACATTGACTGGTAACATAATAATCACAGATGTACTATTTAATCACTAAATTTTGAAGAAATTGTCAATATTTGTTAAATTTGAATTTCATTTGTTAAGCATAAAATTTGACATTCATTGCTTAGTACTGGTTAGGTTTAGAAATTGATTTTGAAAGTGTGTACATTAACTTCTAGCTCCCTACACAGTAAAATAAATAATGTATAAATTAACATTTGTAAAACAGTTTGTAACATAAGAAAGAAGGACAATTGGATAATAATAATGATGATGATATATTGATTTTAGACCAGAGATGCATGGTTTAGACAGGTATCTTCAACAGATGGACAAGATACTAGAAGCTCTGAATTATTTCAAGAAACACAATCAAAATACTGTGGAATTGAGAGATGTGGTAAGTGATATCTTCAACATATTATTTCAAACAGACTCTTATGTTAGACTGAAACAAAGACATCTTTGTGGACATCTTAGGAATTGGACTGACACAGTTTACAGTTTATTTGACCTTTGTTAAAATGATTTCTATTTAAATTACTACCTCCATCATTGATGAATATGACTTAGAAACAATTATGAATAAGATATGTTTGGTATGGAAATTATAAAAATATTATCATAAATATGTTTTAGACATATAAATTGGGCATTTGTGGCCGAGTGGTTTAGGTCTCTTTCTTCAAACCACTTGCCTCTTAGTGCTTTGGATTCGAATCCTGTCAGCAACCTTTAATTTTTTGATGTGAGGAAGATATCCGGCTAGCTAACGAAATGTCAGTGGTTCTGCTCAGGTGCTGGTTTGTGCCTGAAATAATGCATGGAAGGACACCTGAGGTCTTCCTCAACTAGTAAAACTCGAAAAGTTGCCATATTATCTATACAGTACTGTGTTGGTGCAACGTAAAACCCAACCAAAAGGACAAAAATGACATAAATGTTTTATGCATAGTTTTGTAATTTTAGGCTGCTTTGTTTGAACAAGGGAAGGACTGTTTACACGCAGAGTTTCAGACATTGTTAGCTCGACATGGTCGTCCAGTACCTCCAGTCTGTATTCTAGATCTTATTGGTAGTGATGAAGGTAAAAATATCAATAATTCAGTAATAACTATAATATTATATATCTTCTTATATGATTGCAGTGTTTGAAATTAGCAGAAGTCCAATAGCCCCTAACTACTAAATTTCTCCTGGGGCTTCCGACTTTTCACAGTTACAAGCTCAACCAGGCTACTGTATTCTCAGAGGCAATATAAACAACTGTTTTGAACAAATGAATCGTGCTAGTGAAATGTCTTTTGGGCTAGTGAATATTTCAATCTGGTAGTCCGACCAGCCTAGTGGATTCAAATCCGAATTTCTTACACTGTGATTGATTTGCATATTCTTGTATTTTATTTCATTTGAAAAAGATGTTACGCCTTTTCATTGAATAGCACTTCTTTTTTCGGAGGACTTTGGATCTAAGGATGATGCAAACCTAGTTTTATGATGATCCATGAGAAGATGTTCGAAATTTACATTGACCAACTACTCATGTACTTTTCCCCAAAGAGCCTTAATTTATTGACCCAATATTGTAGATATTTTTGTACATGTATGTTACCTTGCATTGACCAATACTCAAAGATCATTTGCATTATTCTATGAAGTGCAAAAATGTTTTCCCCAATATTTGTGCAAACACAGCTGTTAACACACACAGATATAGGAAAAATAAATTTCATTTAATAATCACATAGGCCACTAGCTCAATTTCAGAATAAATTTACTCACAACAGTTTGAAAACTTGGACTAGAGTGAGTTACTTAGCAACATTGGCAGAGCCTTCTTGTCAGAGTTGATAGTTTATTTTTGTATTCTCTGTATTTCCTACATATATTTTCCTGTTGCATGTATTTCATAGCAACAATGCAATATTTTCCTCTGTATTTCATGTTTTCTTATCTATTTTCAGAATTACAAGGTGACCCATCTGAGACACAAATGGAACATCTACCAGAGAAAGTTATAGAAGATCTAAGTGATATCAGTAAATGGTTAATTACCAATGGCAACACTACTGACTTCCTAAAGAACTACATTACAATGAGATCTAGTATGCTTATCAAGTCATTGAATGGGTAAGCCGTAGTCTTGCACGTAATTGTAAATACAAAATGTATATCAGACATGTATAGAAACTTTTAAATTGGCTTAAGGTTGGCCAAGTTATTTTATATTTCTCTGATGTTGTTAGTTGCCAAGTAAAGTTACAGATCTTCTCTAAAGGTTTAACCAACGTGGGGATAGTCAAATGGAAGGGTCTTTTTTCACTGGTAAGGGAAGGGGTCCTTCCCTTAAATTAAGGGGAAAGTAACTTTGTATGAAAATTACAGGTAAAAGGGTTACAATTGACTTGACATCGTTTTCTGTATTTTTAAAGTACAAAAGTTAAGTAGATCTTATTATGATAGGTCAGCTGTTTTACCAAGGTGCCTGTTTCATACCCAATACCTTAAATTGTATAATAAATAACATCTGGATCTTTTCCTGCTTGATTGATATACCCCTTTTAGGAAATACTGATATTAAAAAACAACAACTAATATTGTAGCAGCCTACAGTAAAGAATCTGGTCAGACTTCATGGATATACAGGCTGGCCTGGTGCTATACTGTTGTCACAAATGAACATGTTTGTAATTGTAGCTGTCTATAGGGTTTAAATCATGAATAAGCTGAAACATGTTAATATTTTCAGGTTGAAAGAACATTTGAAATCAGCCAGTGGTACTAGTGTGACTCTAACTGCCCCTCATTCATCACCTGCTCTGGTTAGTATATACATTATTCTATATTAAAAATATGAAAGAACAAATTATGATAATGTTCATTTCTAATAAAAAATGACAGAAATAATGTTAAATGTATAATGAAATCAAATGGTCTTTTGTTGTTTGTTTGATTTTTAGCTCACCTGACCAAGAAGTGGTCAAGGTGAGGTATAGTGACGGGGCTATGTCAGGCGTCCTTCGTCGTCCAACATTCGTCATCAACAATTGGGTTGTTAACAGTCTAGCAGTCACAGTTTTGATTGGATGATCATCAAACTTTGTCAGAATGTTTGTATCAATGAAATACAGATCGAGTTTGAAGATGGGTTATCTCGGGTCAAAAACTAGGTCACAGGAGCTAAAAATAAAAAATCTTGTTAACAGTCTAGTGGCTGCAGTTTTGATCGAAATATTCTGGAAATCAGTCAGGAAGGTTGTTTTGATGATTTCTACGTTAAGTTCGAAGATTGGTCATCTCTGGTCATAAACTAGGTCACAGGAGCTGAAAATAGAAAAAGCTTGTTAACATTCTAGTGGCTGCAGTTTTGATTAAAATATTCTGGAAATTTGTCAAGCAGATTGTTTTGATGATTTCTAGGTCAAGTTCGAAGATGGGTCAAAAACTACGTCACACTGCCCAAATATGGAAAAACCTTTTTAACACACTAGAGGTCACATTTTTGACTCAATTGTCATCAAACTTGGCCAGGATGCTTGTCTAAGCCATTGCTTGCATGTGGTTGATGGGTCAGGGGAGCGATCTAGGGCCATCATGGCCCTCTTGTTAATTGAACAATAAAGATATGTCTGGAAATAATATATACATTGTTATTCTTTAACTTACAGGGACAAAAATTCAACAGGAATAAAGATACCCCTGGACGAAAAAGTATTAAAAAGTTTGCGTAGGTATCTTTTATTACATTACAGGAATCAAACAAGTCATTACTAACTAAACTAACTAACTGAAAGTAATTTTTTGTTGATACCAAATTAGTGTTTCCATTGATTTAGAATTCATTAAATAAGTTCAGGTGAAGAACTATGTTAAACATAAAGTCATTGAATTGCAGATAAGCACATGAAGTCATGGTACTGCAGATAAACACATGAAGTCATGGTACTGCAAATAAACACATGAAGTTATTATACTGCAGATAAACACAGCAAGTCATTGTACTGCAGATTAACTCAATGTCTGTGTTCTGCAGATAGACACATGAAGTTATTGTATTGCAGATAAACACATGAAGTCATTGTACTGCAGATTAACTCAATGTCTGTGTCCTACAGATAAATGCATAAAATAAATGTACTGCAGATAAACAATTAAAGTCATTGTACTGCAGATAAACACATGAAGTTCTTGTACTGCAGATAAACACATAAAGTCATTGTACTGCAGATAAACACATGAAGTCATTGTACTGCAGATAAACACAAATTCATTGTACTTCAAATTAACACACATTCATTGTACTGCAGATAAACACATAAAGTCATTGTACCACAATTAAACACATAATGTCATTGTACTGCAGATAAACACATGGAGTCTTTTTTTTACTGCAGATAAACATATAGTCGTTGTACTGCAGGTAAAAACATGAAGTCATTGTACTGCAGATAAACACATAGTACAGATGAATTCCTAAAATCATTGAATGTATAATAAAAAGGGATGCTGATAAATGCTTACATTCATGGTACATTTGTACTTTGTATTGCAGATAAACATATTCTTGTTTTATGTGATTATTATTGTAGGAGAACTAACAGTAGGTCAAACAGTATAGCAAAAGGTACGGTAATCTGTACTCTGATTCCTCCCGAACCGATTTTCCTGTTTTGTTACACAATGCCTGTAATTTTGGTTTTAGATTTGTTCCATTCAGAAAAAATATATTCAGTATTTTACCGTACCCACACAACATTATCCTTAGTTATAGGGGAAGTCCTGCAGCATACTCAGAATGAAATTTGGAGTCTATCCACCCTTCAATTTGTCATCTTTTGTTTTCTTGTATTCAAATTACTATCTCTAAAATTTTGTTTCAATTTTACTTGTTTAAACAAAATTATTTTATGTTAATTTATTTCTTTTATGCTCACCATTTTTATCTGTACATTTTTTCTATAATTAAAATTAGTGGTTCTTCAAGTGTTTTACAATATACTATGATATACATGTATGGCAGAGGCAGAATTGGTAAAAATTTAATCAGTAATGCAAAATGGTTTTAAATGTACTGTATTTTTTTGGAAATTGTTTGTCTTAAAAAAAATTTAAGGGTGGAAATTAATTCCGGTAAAAGAAATTTTGGGCTTGTTTAACATAATAAATAATTCATAAAATAAACAAATTTTTTAAAACAATACTGTTAAAGTTTATTTTTGAATGATGTGAAACTGATTTTACATGGGGTTTTTTTTTTAAATATTTACAGACCTGTTTGGGCAAGGTAGAAAAAAACATTTGTAAAAAAAAAAAAAGAAAAATTTAAAAAGCTCTTTTTTTTAAAGTTTATTATTTTCATTTTTAGGGAAATTTTTTCGAAAAAAACCTCAAACCCTCTGAAATACCATTTGAAGCAGGGGAATTTTGTTTATTTAAATTTTAACCCATAAATGCAAATAAAAAAAAATTAATATTGATTCAACTTGAATTCCAAATTTTAATTTTTTGGAGTAATACAAAAAATAAAATAATTGTTAAATACAAACTAACAAAAATTAAGCATATAGCCTGATGTGCAGGTAGTCCACCGATTGTGAAAGCTATTTAATATTGATTTTTAGCTATTTAAAGGTACTCCACTGAGGTCCAAAAGCTTAGAAACATAAAAATTTGAATTTTCTTTATCAGGTCAATTGAAAATCACTAGAGAAAAAAATTTGAACTAATATCAAGCATGAAACTGCTAAGTTTTGGCAAGTCTTGAGATTTGGAAAAAAAAAGTTAAATGTTATTGAATGAACCGAGGTCTTGAATAGCTATGTAAACTGATCATTGATACAGACAGATTTAGTATATCAATGCTGATTATATGATATTGTAGCATGAAAAGGTTGATGTTTTGGTACAATCAAATGTTGACCATTATCTAGGTCATCGTAGGACGGGTTCAGCAGCTGAGATGATCAAGGAGGAACAGTGTGATGTTGATATAGATGTTTATATCACCGAGTTGACAGCTCTACTTAAACTCATGCAGGTAAGTTATACAATATTTTACCTGGACATTTTAAAGACATGAGTGTTATTAGAAATAATGTTGCCGGAAGTAATTTCATAACTTTAAGGTTTTATGTGCATTAGAGGAATAAGGAGGTGTATGACAAAATGGTCACTATAAGAGTATCTTGATATATGACTTGTACTGGACTTTCATAGTGTTTGCTAGGCTGCCAATTGGTGCTTACTTACCCAGTGCCATCCTGACCAAGCACTATCAACCCTATGCAGAATATAAATCCTGAAACTCAACCAATAATAACCCAATTATAATGTATAACGTGCAATTTCTAAGAAATGACACCATTTTACATGATTATTAGGTTAAAATGGATTGGTGTTATTATCTTTATAAACTGTCATATGATTTTTACAGAGTGAATTACAACTTCTAGTACAGATAGTGCCGGAGAAATTCCAGAGATCAGTGTATGATAATATTGTACAACCTGGTCTAGACTCAGTTGTCAATGAAGGAGAGGTATTTATTCTAGTTTTTAGTCTCCTGATATATCTGAATTGATGAAACATGAACATGGTATTTCTTTATATTATACTTTTACCTTGAAAAATTGGCATATTGTGACTCTTCCACCTCTTTGTTATGTAGCTATCACGGTTCAAATCAAAGATATTATTGATAACATAATTCACGCATTATTCAGTATCTGAAAATAGACATTTAAGTAATATGGCTTGGACACATGGATATAATATGAAAATAAGTTTTTATATTTATCTAATTTATAAAGATAAAGATTATGGCTGTTGATATACTGTATATATTGATGCTACAGCTGTTCTGTTACAGACTTTAGCAGCTTATTCCAGGAAGAGTATTGGTCGACATGAGTTCAGTTCTGTTCTGTCTATATTCCCTGTAGTCAAACATCTCAGATCCATCAAACCTGAATTTGATCGAAATCTGGAGGTAAACCTATGTTATATAATGGAAAATATTTATGAATTTTTACTCCCTTAAATTAGTGCTGTGAACCTTCCCTGCATTGATTTTGGAACTATCCATTGTTAGGTTGTTATCAAAATATACTAGAATAAAGTAGCCATCTTTATATGTAGGTCTTGTCAGACTGCATTGATGTATGAAATATGACGACCTATAAGATTCAAGTTATCAGGGGTCAAGAATTTTTCCTGATCTGTTGTTTATTTATAGACATAAGACTGATTTTCGGTGGTGTATGCACAGATACTTTTGTTTAAGAGGTACAACCTGGATTATAGTAATCTTAATTTTTACCAATTGTAGAGTGAAATTATTGAATAGATGTAGCATGAGAAAATAACAACATGTATATGTAGTATATAGATGTATAACCTTTTGGCAATGAAATATGATATAAAAACTGTATATTTAGTATGTTCCTCAGATAATTGTATGTGATTATATTGTAGGGTTGTCAAGCACCAACAAGAGCCAAACTTGCCTCTCTGTTATCTACTTTAGGCAGTACAGTGAGTATTGTTTTCATTAAGGGGACCTCTATAATAGATTGGTCAAGGTAGTCGAGTTGAAATTGTTTACCTTTGTTGAAAAGAAGCTTGTTAGGGACTTTTAGTTCTTTCATTTATGGAAGCTTTCTTGCTGTCTTAGAGAAGGTTTGTGGTTCTACAAAGGCGCCTGTTTGTTCCTGAAATTATGCATGGTACCTGAGGTATTTCTCTACAAGTTTCCATATGACCTTTACAGTGTTTGTGAGACTGAAAACATTTAAAAGTGATAAAAATATTGTTGTTTTTGTACCAATTAATGTCAAAGTTTATGTTTAGACTATTATATCCTTGTTATAAGGATTAGCTGTCAGATAATTTTTGTTCATGTCAACAAAAAAAGACTTAAGAATTAAATTTCTTTCTTCATTATTACTCAATGAATCCTATTAAAATAGTTGTTTGTTCCTTTATTTACTTATATCTGGTAAACAAAGCTTTTCTTGATATTTTAGGGTGCAAAAGCCTTGGAGGAGTTCATAGACAACATAAAGAATGATCCAGACAAGGCATCTAATATGCCCAGAGATGGTACTGTACATGAACTCACCAATCATGTAAGTCTGTAAATAATGTGCCTAGAGCTGGCACTGTACATGGCCTTATCAGACATGTTACTGTTTGATTAACCTACTTAGAAATCAATACAAATTTGAATATAACTGTTGGGAATTTCGCTCATATACTTGTGCCGTTAAATGGCGCCAACATATGTGTGATGTTAGAATACGTCACTTCCTATTTTTTAGCTCGACTATTCGATAAGAATAAGTAGAGCTATTGTAGTCACCCGAGCGTCGGCGTCGGCGTAACCACTTATGTTAAAGTTTTTGTAATAGTTCAAATATTTTCAAAGTCCATTGACATATGGCTTTGAAACTTTGCACACTTGTTCACCATCATGACCCCAACCTGTAGACAGGAGGAGGTAACTGTATCAAGCATTTTGACAGAATTATGCCCCTTTTTCGACTTAGAATTTATGTTAAAGTTTTTGTAATAGTTCAAATATTTTCAAAGTCCATTGACATATGGCTTTGAAACTTTGCACACTTGTTCACCATCATGACCCCAACCTGTAGACAGGAGGAGGTAACTGTATCAAGCATTTTGACAGAATTATGCCCCTTTTTCGACTTAGAATTTACGTTAAAGTTTTTGTAATAGTTCAAATATTTTCAAAGTCCATTGACATATGGCTTTGAAACTTTGCACACTTGTTCACCATTATGACCCCAACCTGTAAACAGGAGGAGGTAACTATATCAAGCATTTTGACAAAATTATGCCCCTTTTTCGACTTAGAATTTACGTTAAAGTTTTTGTAATAGTTCAAATATTTTCAAAGTCCATTGACATATGGCTTTGAAACTTTGCACACTTGTTCACCATCATGACCCCAACCTGTAAACAGGAGGAGGTAACTGTATCAAGCATTTTTTTTTACTATCAAGCACTAAGAATAGTCGAGCGTTGCTGTCCTACCGACAGCTCTTGTTGTGGTAAACAGTTATAAGTTATAATAGTTTAGATAGATGTATAAAGCAGACACAACATGTTGTACATTATTTTCCGTAGTATAATACCCTATCCGATAATAATAGTGCTATCCAGCTACGTTAGGGAATGTCTGTGGTTCTACTTAGGTGCCCACTTGTGCCTGAAATACTGAAGGGTGGCACCTGCGGTCTTCCATCGCCAGTTAAGTTCGAAAAGTTGCCATATGACTTATACTGTGTATGCTATGTAAAACTCAACAACAAAAAAAAAAGAGGAAAATACGATAATTATACCAGCAACTTTTTACTAAAATTGTTTATTTATAAACAAGCTTGTTGTTTGCTGTATAAATTTTCTCTAGTAATGCCGGAAAAGAAAATTTAAATTCTGATTCTATTTATCAGAGTAAGATCACATCAGAGATGCAATTCAGACTCAGTACATTTGGCTAAAAAGTTATTAAATTTTAAAAGAAACATCACCAAAATTGATAATACACTGTGCCAAATACAGTCGACTCCACTTATAACGAACTCGCTTATAACGAATTATCGTTAATAGCGAACTAAATCTCACAGCCCCGGCCGATTCCTTCTTTATTTTATATTAAATCACATTGCTTAATACGTACCTGCTTATAGTGAATTTTCGGCTATAACGAACCATTTTTTCAAGCCCCAAATGACGGAAAACATTTAAATTTCCTCGGTTATAACAAACTGTTATAATTGAAATATTGGGATGCGCTCGGTTAGGATCAGTACATGAATAACACTAACTGATAATTAAACAATCGAATGATTGAACAGGTTAGTTATGACTTCAGAGAATAAAGATATTGAAAATTTTTCTCACAACATAATTTCCTACTTGTTACGGAAAATTTGTATTTCACACACTCAGTTGATTGCTGTAAATACGGTACCCAATAATTGCCAAGTAAACGATTTTTTGTGTTTGCAGTATTAACCAAATAGCAAAAGAAAACAAATGGTAAGAACTTCATAGACAATTAATACATGAATAAATATATGTACCATGTACATAATATATTGCTCAATAAAATGCCCTGCATTTAATAACCGCTGCAGTAAAATACTGGTTACACCGGTAACCAGTGAAGAGTATGGCTTTTACAAGGCAAATTTCACCATCCAAACAAGTCAGCAAGTTGTTGCTACTTTGCTTTTAGCGAACTTCGGATATAACGAATGATATTTTAATGTCAATTTGAGTTCGTTATAACCGGAGTCGACTGTATAGAAGCTGGGCAGGACATCAAGATGACGGTTCAGTTTATTATAAATATAATGAGCCGTGTCACGACAAAACCAACGTAATGCATTTGCGACCAGCATGGATCCAGACCAGCCTGTGCGTCCTCGCAGTCTGATCTGGATCCATGCTGGTCGCAAACGCATTATGTTGGTTTTGTTGTGATGCCGCTCATATTAAACTTGAAGTTTTATAATGTATATTTACAGACAATGGTATTTATGGAGCAGTTACAGGACTATGTTGAAACAGCAGGAGCTATGTTACTTATGCATGGTAAGTTTTATAATCTAAGGAAAAAAAAGAATGTACTTTATATTGTAGACTAGTAAACTGTGTGGAATATGGTTTTTGTCGTCTATATTTTGTTTTACCTTGAGAAATACAAGGATGAGTAATATTGTTAACTACAGCAGGTTTAAAATGTTGTATACCAGCTGTCCCATACTTTATCTCAGTTTTTTTTGTATTTTTTTTGGTACGTCAGACTCATTGACTCTGACATTTTTATGTTCGAGATGGATTTGCTTTAGACTGAGAAATGTTTCACAATGACAAATTGTTCTCTCCCATGAACAGAATCGATTAACCTAAGTCTTAAATTTGTAACTTTCTTTTTTGTATTCATTGCTGTAGAATTTTAAAATTTAGATGTACGTTTTAATTTTTATATAGATTGAATATTCAAAATATTTAATGCCCAAAAATAAGAGAAAAGGCAGATACCAAGTCTAATTAGAATCAATAGGATGTTTTAATTACTGTGGTTTTGTGTGGTAGAATTTATGTTTCTTTAGTATCATTTGCCTGTAACATTTCATTTCGTACAACTTTTGTTTTGTTTTAACCTTTGTTTTATTACAGGTGACAAATGTTTTTGTTTTATATTCCTACATGTACATACGAGGGTTGATTAGAAAGAAAGAAAGCGGAAATAGTTTATACTCTTGAAAGTTTTCTCTTTATGTATTCAAAATTTATGCAAACACAACACAAATCTATACTCAAATCAGCTCATACAAAACCTTTTCGACATTCTTATTTTTGTGATGTTTTCTTTTTATGACATCATGTACTACCATTGTGATTCATAATCCAAAACATTTTAATGAGTTTACTCTGAGAAATTGTACAAAATATGTTCAATGAAAATGGCTATTTCTGTATCCTTTTTGATCAATCCTCATATTTTGTAGTTTTCACCTATTCACATTTTAATATACTAGTATTTGTTGTTGGTATGAACTAAGTTTGGTGTTGATCTTCTTTAACACTGCTTGAGATCAATATCTGTATCCTAGGCAACCTGTTCTATGAAAGTTACGATGATTTACATTTTCATTTAAAAGCAAAAACATCTCAAAATTAATGTGAGCAGTCTTTATATATTAAAGATGGCTTTATTGGTATGTTTTTAATTGCTAAAATATCTTTGATTTGTACCCTTCATTTGAAAGGTCACGTAGGAACAGATGTTACTTTTCAATTAATATGTTACTATAGTATTTATGGTGTACTTAAAATAGTTTTTCTTTTACCTTATATCAGTTTTTTTTTGTACCATAAATGATTGTTTATTACTTTCATTATCCATATTGGTAAATAACAGTTCTTCAAAGTAACAAATCTCATGGTAAGAATAGGAAAAAATTAAATGCTAGAATTTTATCTATGTACATGTACGTTTTATTACAGTAAACTTATACCCTCCTAAATTTGTGTAATGGACTTGTCCTACTGTGAATTTGGAACAGTCCATTGTGAATTTTAGGGATTTCAATATGAAATATAATAATATGAAACAGATTGCATATAAATGCAAGCTGGCATGTGATCACAAATGCAGCATATGCACATTATTATCATGCTAGCATTCAAAGGCTGCATGCTGGTGGAATAGGCAAATCAGTATCACCTTTTAGCATTCAAAGAGTTAACAATAAACATGTCTGAACTTTTCCCAAAATAAAACAGAAAGATATGACTGAATATTTATTACTTTACAACAAAAAAAGATTAATTTCTAGCATTTAACATAAAAACTACAGATAAACCCATGATAGAGTACTCTAAATCCAACCAAATGCTTGCAAATGTTGAGATATTTCAAGTAAAACCCTTAGAATTAATTCTACACTGCATTTGATTCTTTGCCTTAGGATTCATTTTATATGAATGCAACTGCAAGACAAACTTGTATATAATTCCCAACATCCCACCACATGTATTTCATCAAAGACCAATTATTTATATACCATTTAGTATGCTCACCTAAATCTTTTGATAGTTCATAGTTATAAAATTGCTGTTTAGTCCCTCCTTCAGTCTGACTTAACTTTTCTCATAGCATCTTCATTTACTGACAGATATTTCAATTATTTGGTGCACTGGTGCCATTAATGGATCTTTATCATTAGCATGTGCTTCATATCAATTTGGTAAAGGTCAATGTTACCGAGGCTGAAAATAGATTTTCATGCTTTTCCTCATAGACAGGCATTAAACCAATGCAGAATTTGACTGTCTTAGAATTTGAAAGAGTGCATTCAAACTTGAAAGGGAATTCAGTATCAAAATACAAAAATTGAGCTACCAGCAATATAGAGCCTGGTCAGACTGCTAGGTTGTGCAGATGGCCTGGCTCTATACTGACGGCAAATGTTAATCACTTCTGGTTCCAGGCAGGTAAGGGTTAAGCATTGTCAAAGTAAGGATTTGAAAGTGACCATCAGTATTACAATATTTTAGTCTTATTTGAATACAGCAAAAACACATTCATATATATAATTCCTAAATTCTTGACATGTATTTCATCCAAGCCCATCATTTACCGGTTCACATTTTATTTATTTGTTGTATGTATTTGCTTAGTAAGAAGGTATCATCACAGACTTACCGTATAGAGCATGTGTTACATTGATGGCTTGTCATAAACTTTAGATTTGCTTAAAATAAATGTATTGCTAAAAAACAACATTATTAGAAACCGATTCAGTCAATTTATCATTTGTTTTATTAAGATATGAGGAAAGAAGTTTTGAAAAAGCGTTTGAAAAACAAGTCTCTTAATCACGATAATTTACATTATAAGTGTTCACAATAATAATTTTTTTCTGATAATTGTTGTCTACATTTGACTTAATACACAAACACTTGCCATTAGTGCAAAATTTCATGCTACAAAATTAAAAATTAAATAAAGCATTAATTATGTAAGTTTTGGGACACTTAAACTGTGCACAAGCACAAGTAACATATTTGGCATTGATATTTTTGGTACATTGTTTATATATATTTTGTTTTGAAGGTTCGGATTGCAAGAATATTCAAGCACTTGTTTTCAATTTTGGATCAATGTTTGAGCAATCCAGTGGTAATCTGACTGATGTATAGCACTTGTACATCTTTTCTTTTCAACAACATTATGTATTCATACACAGGATCTGCTCCACATATAATTGGAACTACTTTCTGTTTTGTCTAGAGAACAAAGAAAGTAGTTCTCTTGATTGCAGCATGTCAAAAAAATTCACATCACAAAATTTCTTCCTGAAATTGTTTTTATTTATGGATCGGTTGGTATATTATTTTTATTTTGTCTGTTTGGTTGTCTGTTTGCAGTCATATTTAACCTTGCCCATAACATCTTCATTTTATAAGCATATATCTTTATGCTTTTATTCCTAGACCAGAGCTTTTAAAATATGACCTTTACCCATGAATGACCTTGACCTTCAAGGTTAGATTTTCAAACTTACCATAACTTCTTGATTTATTAACAGACTTTGGACGAGGCTTTTGTATTTTATAAGCACATCTTGTTATTTTTTCTTTCATTGAAATGTCATGTAAATTTGTATATGTATGTGCTATTATGCCATAAAGATAACGTTTTACCTAAGCATTTGCATGGTATTTCCTGTCACACAATAATGAATAAAGCCCTTTAGTAATCTTGCTTATTTTTCTACAGGTTCCATGTACATATAATGTATATGTAATCAGTTTTAAGATAATGAATCAATAATATGAAATATAATTATAATATACAAGTATCATATCTGATCATCTTAATTGTAGTTTATGTGTGTGCTATATATATATGATATTATGTATAATGGAATGAAAATCTAGTGAATGCCAAAGTTTGTCATATTTACCTTCATTTTGCTAAGTTTGTGTAATGGACTAGTCCTGCATCAGTCTGTTGTTAAATTGAAGGATTTTAATATCAGAAAGAAACAGTTGAGCCTTAAATAGTAAGCCAGGTTGCAGTTCGTGAATGTACAAGCTGAAATGGCTCTATGCTGGTGGCAAAGACAATTCATTATCACGGCAAGCAGTACTTTAAAGGTTAAAATTATGTTTTAAAAAAAAAGTATGAATTTTTCTAAATGTGCATGATCCAGTTGTATTTGAAGTTTACACTTGTTTGGACTTTTCAAAGGACAAATTTTTATCCCTCTCTGTCTTGTTACACATCTATAAAACTCATTTTCTCATATCATATTTTACTTTTTTATTGTTCACTTATAGAGTTTAGAACAGTTTCATATCATCTAAACTCTTGTCAAAGTCATCTTAAACATTACTAATAAATTCAAACTACCATTTATTGATGTCATTGTCAGGGTTTCTATAACATAGTTTTTGTTTTTCATAAACATTGGTGAAATGTGTAAATTGTTTTACTTGGCATTGTTACAATTGAAAAAAATACTAGTATTTGTTGTAAGTATTTGATATTCTATATTTGAGCTGCGCCATGACAAAACCAACTTAATGGGTTTGCGACCATCATGGATCTAGACCAGCCTGCGCATTCCCACAGTCTGATCAGGATCCATACTGTTCGCTTACAAACCCTATAACAAGAAGAGAAACTGATAGCGAACAGCATGGATCCTGATCAGACTGCGCAGATGTGCAGGTTGGTCTGGATCCATGTTGGTCGCAAACCAATTATGTTGGTATTGTTGTGGCGCGGCTCATTTTATAATTATATTACAGGGGAACAAGCAGCGCCCAGTGAAGCTGTAGATGACAGGAAGAGCAGATTAAAACTGGCTGACTATTGTAGTATGTATTTATAATGTCCCATACGTTCATGATTCTATTTTTATTAAAACTTTAAAATCTTTCATATTGGGAAGCTGTCAAGCTATCTTACTTAAGGTTGTTGTTATACTCAGGTGCCTGCTTATGTGTGTTATAATGAAGGAAGTTGCGTACTAGGTATTTATCCACAGTCAAATTGGATAAGTTGCTGAATGACCTCTACTGTTTCACTATGATTAAAGACTTAACTACTTCTTGAAGTAAAAACTTGATTTTAATAAAATATGAGTCACTTAAGGAAAAAATGGTTACGGTAGTTACTTTTATAAAGTAGACGATGTATTACGGCTTAGATTTATTTTCAGGATTAATGTTAATTTTTATATTCCAGCCAAAGTGTTGTCAGCATTAGGTTTAAACCTGAGTAACAAGGCAGAAACTTACAGTGACCCCTACCTTAAACCTATATTCATGTTGAACAACTTTAACTACATTCTAAAATCATTAAAAAGGTATGGTATAAGATAAATATACTAACCCTTAGAAACCTGTATGTGCCACTAGTATTTCTGATCAGTTGCCTGCTAACAATGAAAGATAAGATTTTAGTAAAAAAAAGTAAAAACCACTTATAAAACACAGGAAGTTATTAAGTACATGTAGTATATTTGAATGAAAATGTGAAGAAAAAAAAATGAGGGAGATAAAAAAATCCCACAGAAATAAGTGTACACAACTTATCTAAAAAGTTCATGTATGTTAGAAAAATGTATGTTAGAAAAATGAGATACAATTAGAAAACCATTTGTGAAAATTTTCAGGGAGAGTAAAAAAGTATTTTCATTTTACATACATCTCACATAATGTAGTTGAAGGGCATTAGTAAGAAAACTATAGCATTTTATTTTGGAGAAATTATTACTTTTACTAACTTCAAAACTAAAATGATTTTACAGGTCAGGTCTGATAGAATTAATACACAAATGGAACAAAGATGTTGGAATGTTCTACGAGGAACAAATAATGGACCAGAAGAAAGCATACTCTCAAAGGTAAATATGATCTTTGTTTTATTTATTTACTTTTACCTTGCTTAACCCTTACCACACTAAATATCACAAATGGACTTGTCCATCTTTCAATCTGGACAAGTCCATTCATCATTTTTAGGGGAAATATGTACTGACAATAGTGAACACAGTATCAGATAGTTTTGATGAAAGATCTTTGTCTGCACTGGTCACATGAGTAGAATCACTTGATGACAGCAGGCTAATTGTTATCCTGAATATGAAACACTTCATAAAGTTAAATGGAATTCAGTTTCAAAATACTAAAATTTAGGGAATGGTCCCCTTATCGTTGTAATTTGTATCAGAAATGATGCAGAGCTACTTAGCTAGTGAGTCAGTAAAGAATAGGTGCCATCTCTTTCTTTATGTCATTAATCATGATATCACAATGTTAATGTAGTAAATTAATTATGTAAATGTCACTAACTTAAGTTCATCTTAACATAATATGAGCCGCGTCACAACAAAACCAACATAATGCGTTTGTGACCAGCATGGATCCGTGCAGTCTGATCATGATCCATGCTGTTCGCTTACCAACCCTATTACAAGTAGAGAAACTGATAGCGAACAGCATTGATCCTGATCAGACTGCGCAGCTGGTCTTGATCCATGCTGGTCGCAATCGCACTGTGTTGGTTATGTCGTGACGTGGCTCAAATGTTATATATTACAGCTGGAGTAGGGTGATGCACTATATACTTGAGATGAATGAACCAATGTCCTCACAGAGAATGTCCAATCCTGATGCAAAGGTTTGTAAAGTGCTGCACATGTATTTTGATAAATTGCATGAAAGATTTTATAAGTTTTTGTCAGTTTGCTTTGAAAAAAAGGCAAGATCATGTTTTTTGCGCAATTTTATACCACTTTTATAGTAGTACATGTACAGGAGAATACATGTCTTAATTTAGAAGAGTTGTCCTATTATTTATTTAGAAAAAAAACAACAACAACAAAAAAAACAACATAATTTTATGCAATTAAAAGATTTGTAATTGATTGTTGTTGTTGGAATATTTTGCAAGTATTTCTTGTTAATATATAAATATTTTAATTTCAGTTAAAAGATAAAGAAAAACAGAATATAAAAGATAAATTTACAGTAAGTATTGATTTCCTACATATTTATATATTTCCATGCTCTTCATCACCGCCATCATGTCAAAGGCAAAGAACATGTACTTGTTCAAATGCTAAATGAATAAATTGAAATCGATTATTGTTCTTACTCAGTAGCTTGTTGACCATTGTGATGACTGACAAATTATTTATGATGAGCATGAAAGGAAAATATATCATTTTGCATTATCATGCTAAAATTTGCTATACATACACCAGTAAGTCTTCCTCTTTTTTTATGGAGACTTTTACATTCGAAATCAAGTGATTATGTTGTATGCAGCAACATCGACAGTCTGTTCATTTCACGGGGGTTATCTCTCTCTTAGTATAGCATTAATAAACTTAAGTTTCCAAAAAAAGAATTGGTTTATTTTTTCTCGAAACTTATTATACCCCCAAAAACGAAGTTTGGGGGGGTATATAGGAGTCACCCGGTGGTCGGTCGGTCGGTCGGTCGGTTGGTCGGTCGGGCGGTCGGTCGGTCGGTCGGTCCAGACGTCCGTTGCATTTTCCTTGTCCGGAGCATAACTTGAAAACTAATGGTTGGAATTCAATATAACTACATACAATGGTCAAGCACATTGAGAGGAAGTGCAGTGCACAAGAACCATAACTCTATCTTAACTAATTACAGAGTTATTGCCCTTTGTTACTTTTCCTTGTCCGGGGCATAACTTGAAAACTACTGGTTGGAATTCAAAACAACTTCATACAATTGTCAAACACAATAAGGGGAAGTGCAGTGCACAAGAACCATAACTCTATCTAAAGTAATTACAGAGTTATTGCCCTTTGTTGCTTTTCCATTGCGTTTTTTTTTTTTGTCCGTTGCATTTTCCTTGTCCGGAGCATAACTTGAAGACTAATGGTTGGAATTCAATATAACTACATACAATGGTCAAGCACATTGAGAGGAAGTGCAGTGCACAAGAACCATAACTCTATCTTGACTAATTACAGAGTTATTGCCCTTTGTTACTTTTCCTTGTCCGTGGCATTACTTGAAAACTACTGGTTGGAATTCAAAACAACTTCATACAATTGTCAAACACAATAAGGGGAAGTGCAGTGCACAAGAACCATAACTCTATCTAAAGTAATTACAGAGTAATTGCCCTTTGTTGCTTTTCAATTTGCATTCTTTTTTTTGTCCGGAGCATAACTTGAAGACTAATGGTTGGAATTCAATATAACTACATACAATGGTCAAGCACATTGAGAGGAAGTGCAGTGCATAAGAACCATAACTCTATCTAAAGTAATTACAGAGTTATTCCCCTTTATTACTTTTCCATTGCTTTCTTTTGTCCGGACCATAACTTGAAGACTAATTGTTGGAATTCATTATAACTTCATACAATGGTCCGGCACATTGAGAAGAAGTGCAGTGCACAAGAACCATAACTCCATTTTGACTTATTACAGAGTTACTGCCCTTTGTTTCTTTTCCCTGTCCAGAGCATGACTTTAAAACTACTGGTTGGAATTCAAAACAACTTCATACAATGGTCAAGCACAATAAGGGGAAGTGCAGTGCACAAGAACTATAACTCCATCTTGACTAATTACAGAGTTATTGCCCTTTGTTACTTTTCCATTGCTTTCTTTTGTCCGGACCATAACTTGAAGACTTATTGTTGGAATTCATTATAACTTCATACAATGGTCAAGCACATTGAGAGGAAGTGCAGTGCATAGGAACCATAACTCCATCTTGACTAATTACAGAGTTACTGCCCTTTGTTACTTTTCCTTGTCCAGAGCATGACTTGAAAACTACTGATTGGAATTCAAAACAACTTCATACAATGGTCAAGCACAATAAGGGAAAAGTGCAGTGCACAAGAACCATAACTCCATCTTGACTAATTACAGAGTTATTGCCCTTTGTTACTTTTCCTTGTCCAGAGCATAACTTGAAAACTACTGTTTGGAATTCAGTACAACTTCATATAGTTGTCAAGGACATTCAAAGGAAGTGCAGTGCACAAGAGCCATAACTCCATTTTGACAAAATACAGAGTTACTGCCCTTTGATACTTTTCCTTGTCCGGAGCATAACTTAAAACGTACTGGTTGGAATTCAAAACAACTTCATACAATGGTCAAGCACAATAAGAGGAAGTGCAGTGCACAAGAACTATAACTCTATCTTCAGTATTTATAGAGTTATTGCCCTTTGTTCTTTTTCTTTGTCTTTCTGGACTTATTACAGAGTAATTCAATTAAACTTCATCAATGGCCAACCACATTGAAAGGAAATGCAACATACATGAACCACAATTATCTTTAATTGCCCACAACCATAACTCTATGTTTCAATTCTTTTACAAGGTATTCTGTTACTAGTAACATCCTCATTTCCGAAGCAGACTTGTGGGGGTATTAATCACATTTAGTGATAGTTCTAGTTCATATTAGCTACTAGTTAATGTATTCATTTAAAATTTTTTACACAGATCACTGGCCAAGACCCCTAGGATGGATTTTTACTCAGTTGTTACACTTTGTAATTTTAGAAAAAAATTTAGTTAGTAAATAGAAAGAACAATGTTTTTTTAAAGTTCTGGTGCATGTATTAACAGTTGAAACCTTTTTTAGAGAAAGTTTCATTTTGATTTCATATCTGATTTCTTGTTTGTTGAATAATAGGGACACTTTTTAATAAAACTGTCTCCAGATATAACCTTTGGGATATGTAAAAAGAGATTGTACAGCTTTTGAAATTTTTAGTGTATATGGTTTATTTTTACCATTTATAGCATTCTTAGCATTACACCCTTTTATGTGACAGTGGCAAAGTGATCAAATAGTTATCTAAGAATTGCTGGTCACATTTGTTCAAACCTGTCGGGCAAGCTGTTTTTTTTTGTGTGAATGAGCAAGGAACTTTACACTCATTGCTTAGTACTGGTTGGTTTCAGGCACAGATTTCGAAATTGTTTCAATAAGCATATAGTTTCCAACACAATCTAAAATAAATTTGTTTAAACTAAATGGTTTTGCGAAATAAGTTTTCAGAGAGGTATTTCAAATTTTTATTCAGGACTTAAAATTCCACAATGATATCAATTTTCTTTATTTTCAGGGTTTTAATAAAGAGCTAGAAGAAATACTCCGAACACAGAAAGGTTACGCCATTCCAGATCAGGAGTTACGCAGCTCCTTAAAGAAAGACAATATAGAGTTTATCATGCCAGCTTATAAGATATTCCTCGATAAATACAAGAAGATGAACTTTACGAAGAATCTGGACAAATATATCAAATATCAGGTGGTAGATGTCGAAGAAATGATCAATAAGTTCTTCGACACAGCAGCTTAAATCCTGACACAGCTGAATTTATGTAATGGACTTTTCCTGCTTTCTATTCAGTTTTTCTAATTTCTAACAGTCCATTGTTTAATTAAAGGGGGGGGGGGGATATTCATTAATCAATTATCTCAGCTAGGATGTGAGGAGTTGATAAATATGTTTTGATATCTATAAAAAATCACATGTAAATGTATGAGTAAACCCCAACCATACTAATTTATATAATGGACTTGCCCTGCTTTGAATTTGAAACAGTCAATTTAACATAGAAAAATTTGATATAAAAAAGTTGATATTAAACAGAGAACAATAGCTTGGACAGGTTGCCTAGTGGTACAGGTCAATCAATACTGCTACTTCTATTCAAAGGTCATGCAAAATAAGGTCATTTATGTCTGTTCAACAGACTAACAGAATTTTCTATCATTTCCTGTAATAAAAGGACTTCATGACATTGTATGCATGGTTGTTCTGCAAGTGGCTGATGTTGCCTGAAATAGTGCATGGAAAGTTAACAAGGCCTGACTCCACCTGTTAAGCCAGAAAGTTGCCATGTGGCTGTTACAATGTAAGCAAAATTGTTAGCAAAGGGAAACATAAAATGTATGCTGTGATATTGTCCTAACATTTTGCTTGAATCAGAATGTGCTTCATGTTTATTACTGTGCAATATTGAATTTATTGTTTATGTGATTATGTTATACTTATTGTACACTGTGCAATAAAAAGATATATAAACTGAATATTATAGTGTATGGTGTTTTTATTTTTCTCATTTTCCATCAAAACGACTTGCTTTTAGTGAAGTATGCATCTGAATATAAATAATATCATATAACAGGTTTTCATGATTATTCCTGAATTCAAAATTTTTATACTCCTGAAAACTCTTCTATATAAAACAATAAAAATAATCCTAAAATATTTGCTTAAAAAGTGGATTTATTTTTATGACACTCTCATTGGTGAGGTTTATCTTTCCATATAGGTCCATTTTCCCAGACACTATCAGAAGTATTGACTTTAACTTTGTATATATACTTGTTCAATATCAAAACTGTGATGCCTTAATAAGAGGCAGATGATCCTAAAAATGTGTTGTTTTTTTTGCAGAGTAATGTCTTTTTTGCCCCAGTTAATGTTTTTGTAAAGGTTCATTTATCAAAGTCTATCAAAGGTATTCACTTCAAACATACAACACTTTTTAACCATTAAGAATGCTTTTCAAATGGGCAGATAACCCTTATCATTTCCCTTGTTCAACTTTGAATATTTTCTCAAAAACTGTCTCCAGTATTTACTTAAAACTTAAAATATACTATTAAGGGCAGTTTATACATTGATTTTATGCTATCCAGTGCTGAGAGAAGTGGAGCCTGTTATAGTTATGTACATCTTGTATACATACACCTGCACTTGTATGTAAACACTGCAGTTTTGTACTTCTTGTATATATACAGAGTGTGGTATTGTACATCTTATATATGTAGGCCTACACAGTGCAGTTTTGTACATCATGTATATATACACAATACGATCTTGTATATAAACACAGTGCAGTATTGTACATCTTGTATGTTAACACAGTGCAGTATTGTACATCTTGTATATAAACACAGTGCAGTATTGTATATCTTGTATATATACACAGTGCAGTATTGTATATCTTGTATATAAACACAGTGCGGTATTGTACATCTTGTATATATACACAATACGATCTTGTATATAAACACAGTGCAGTTTTGTACATCATGTATATATACACAGTGCAGTATTGTATATAAACACTGCAGTTTTGTACATCTTGTATATATACACAGTGCAGTATTGTATATCTTGTATATAAACACAGTGCGGTATTGTACATCTTGTATATAAACACAGTGCAGTATTGTATATCTTGTATGTTAACACAGTGCGGTATTGTACATCTTGTATGTTAACACACTGAAGTATTGTACATCTTGCATATAAACACATCATGGTCATGTAACTCTCCCATGAATATGCATCATGTGTAAGTTCAAAGTTTTGACCTAATCTACAGACTGAAGTAACAATAGTGTGATAGAGTGAAGTAAAAGCTCACTTTGTAAAGGAACAATAAATGAAAACAACAAAATGGTAAAATGTATCAATAATTTTTTATTTGTAAACAAAAAATATAAAATCACATCATATGTGCTTATCATATAACACAAACAGGACAAAACATACATTTAACAAGACTACATTTTTAAATACACCATACACGTATGATTTCTACGATGAATAGACGTCTTATGTTTCGCTCGATCTGGTTACTAGTTTTCTAATGATAAATATCTCACTCACGCCAATACTTCTAATTCAATGTCTGGTGTTTACAAAACACGACTTTAAAAATTCAACAAACTCATGCTTACATTGGCTCTTTCACAATCCAATAAATGCTTAAAATTTGTCTGATCCTTTAATGATAATAACAAATATGATAATTTATCTGTTGCAAAAACCCAGCTTTCGGTTTCATGACCTCATGTTTTACCCTGCCCCATTTTCAATCCCCATGCTAAATGCCTAAAATTTGCCTGCTACAATAATGACCCAATTATAAATGTCTGATATTTGCAAAAAAAACAAAAAAACAAAAAAAAAACCTCTTTAGTTCATGTTTTAAAAAAATGGGTCAAAGACAGAAAAGGCCGGGTTGCATTTGTACACCAAATATCATGAGGCTGTGATGTTACGAAAAAAAATTTCCATTGACCCATTAATGTCAAAAATTTAATTCAGTAGGTAAACAGGAAGTGGATAAGCTACACACCTAAAATCAAATCCCACAGTATGGGACCATGTGTCAATGCTGTATGCCAAATATCAAGAGGCTGTAATTAGTAGTTTCTGAGAAAAATGTTACGAAAATTTCCTACCATTGACCATTAATGTGAACAGGAAGTGGATGAGCTGCAGACTTTAAATCAAATCCCACAGTATGGGACCATGTGTCAATGCTGCATGCCAAATATCAAGAGGCTGTGATAAGTAGTTGCTGAGAAAACTGTTACGAAAATTTCCTACCATTGACCATTAATGTCGAAAAATCTAACTAATTTAACTAAGTGGATAAACAGGAAGTGGATGAGCGACAGACCTGAAATCAAATCCCACAGTATAAGACAATGTGTCAATGCTGTATGCCAAATATCAAGAGACTGTGATAAGTAGTTGCTGAGAAAACTGTTACGAAAATTTCCTAACATTGACCATTAATGTCGAAAAATCTAACTAATTTAACTAAGTGGATAAACAGGAAGTGGATGAGCGACAGACCTGAAATCAAATACCACAGTATGGGACCATGTGTCAATGTTGTATGCCAAATATCAAGAGGCTGTGATAAGTAGTTGCTGAGAAAACTGTTACGAAAATTTCCTACCATTGACCATTAATGTCAAAAAATCTAACTAATTTAACTAAGTGGATAAACAGGAAGTGGATGAGCGACAGACCTGAAATTGAATCCCATGGTATGGGACCATGTGTCAATGCTGTATGCCAAATATCAAGCGGCTGTGATAAGTAGTTGCTGAGAAAACTATTACGAAAATTTCCTACCATTGACCATTAATGTCAAAAAATCTAACTAATTTAACTAAGTGGATAAACAGGAAGTGGATGAGCGACAGACCTGAAATCGAATCCCACGGTATGGGACCATGTGTCAATGCTGTATGCCAAATATCAAGAGGCTGTGATAAGTAGTTGCTGAGAAAACTGTTACGAAAATTTCCTACCATTGACCATTAATGTCAAAAAAGCTAACTAATTTAACTAAGTGGAAAAACAGGAAGTGGATGAGCGACAGACCTGAAATCGAATCCCACGGTATGGGACCATGTGCTTATGCTGTATACCAAATATCAAGAAGCTGTGATAAGTAGTTGTTGAGAAAACTGTTACGAAAAATTTTTCCCCGCCCGCCCGCCGCCCACCGCCCGACATTCACCATACTATAACCCGGGTTTGCACCTGTGCAACCCGGCCAATAATAAAAATCTCATGTTTGCCCAGCCCAATTCACATTCCAATGATAAATGATTGAAGTTTATTTAATTCTCTTACTGCCTTGTGACAAATGCCTTTTATTTGCTAAGTTCCAAAATCTTAATGCTAAATCAACTATATTTACTGTCCCATGATAAATGCCTGAAATTTGATAAACACATTAACAGTTTAAAAAAAAAAAAGGCCATATATTTTGTTTCACCAAATCACTGCCTTGTAATTTTGTCCAATCCAGATTTTACCATACATAATGTGAACTTTTTTCGATGATCAAGTGGGAGATTTTTATTAAAAAAGACGGAGATTTTAGAATTTGCAATAAAGAAAGTAGAAAGTTCTGATGTCAAAAGAGGGAGATTTCTTTAATTTGAGAAAATACCCCTTATGTTAAGAAAAATCTTTGAAAATATGGCTGCAGAAAGTGGGAGTTTCCCCGCTAAAAGTGAGAATTCACATGTATGATTTTACTGCTCCATATATGTTAAACTAATTTCAGGTTTGTCCTAATAATACTATAATCTAATTCTGATCAAATGACAAAATATTAAAGATAATCAGAGTGTTTTTTTTAGTAACAGCAATCCCTCATCATGCCATTTCCTACTCCCTTCAAAGCTAATACCCCCATGTTTATAAGGCATGTTTAAGACAACTGAAGAGATTCTATTGCACAGATCATTAATTTCTCTTTACAGTGTTATGCATTCAGTTCGACAAATGAACAAACCATGAAGTCTCTACTAAACCACTAGTTGGATAGATTTATCATTATAATAGTTTATAGAAGTTTGCTAAATATAGGGCATGCAAAAAAATCTATGTATCATATAATTATAATACTATATTATTGTACAATAATTCCAGTCACATAATTAACAAACAGTTGAACAATGAATGTTGATATGAGCAGATATAAATGCAAGAAGTTTACTTCATCCGTCAATATGACAAATGTCTAGTGTTTACAAGACCTATGATAAAGTCGGACAGTCTCATGTTTACATGTACCTTGCCCAATTGACAATCATGTTAAGTATTTTTCTTAAAACAATGTAAAATTACATAAATATTTCAAACCATCATTTTCATCTTTAGTTTACATGATGTTGAAAAATAACATAATTTGGTCTGACATAATGTAAAACTAATGGTATGCAATATGCAACATATTTATTTTAGATTGAGAAAGTTTTACAACTTATATTAATCACTTTTGAGTCAGCTTCCTGGAACCAACCAGCACTGGTGTCCTATAAAGAAACATGGTCCTGACCTTATTAGGGCTCGAACCAATGATCCCTGGGTTGAGAGGCAGACACCTTAACCACTAGGCTCCTGCTCCCTTTAAAGGATTAATGCACAGTATTAGAAAACAAGCCTCATACAAGAGATTTAATTCTTTCAGATGTTACATAAATGAAAACTACACACTAATGAATGACATTATTGTATGAAACTGGTCCATAAAATAACCATGGAAATATTTGCCAGCAAATTAAGTAGACTGTTACAATCATAGAACTCTGTCTGTCAATAAAGTTTAAAATAAATGAAGTTTTAAAAAGATTAAAATCATTCTGTAAAATACAAATGTTTTCATAAATAAAGGGAATATAAAGAGGACTATCATTCTTTGAATCACTGGCAAACTAGAAACCACAGCGGATAAACAAAACCATTGTATCATGTCATGAGAGCCTAAACAATTTTATGTGTACAATATCATTCAGTAACAAGCACATGCTACTTCCAATCACTATGCCCTTCTTGGAACCCTACATAGCTTAACTTGTACTTTTCTTGCATAAATATGGAAGTAGACTTGTTTATCCACTATGAAAACTAAAATTAACTGGAAAATTTCAAGAAATGTCTAGCCATGAACAAAGTTAGGCAGTCAAAACAGTGTTTTAGAGGCTGCCCTGGTCAAAACATCTTAAATGAGAAATATATAGAGAAAGGCTATCTGGCTCAAACTAGCCACAAGTTATGGATTTCTGATAAATTTTCAAGAGAGAATTAAATGCTCCAAGATTTTACAACACTGAAGAATGTTCTTGAAAGTGCCATTACATGTTAATACTTTATTTTACAATGCTGCTATGGGATTTATTTTTGACCAAAACTATCATCAAATACTGTAATACTACACTGGAAGCACATCGGCATTTATTGCTTTACACAGTCAGTTTACACCACAATTAGAACATACATACATATTGTGTAAAGTTTTGGTACATAAGCTACATAGTATATGTACATGTATTATAAATATTTCAAAGATCAATATGAACTGGTGGGTGTTGTTAACTGAGGGGACTGGGATAAAAAGAAATATTTATCAAATTTTCATCGTCAAGACGATATCTAAGGCTTTTCAAACGGAACATTATGGAGTATATCACAAATCTCAAAACAGGTTAGTAGGACTTCAAATGACGCTTACACAATTTACATTCTACATTACTTTGCACACGTAAAATGTCCACTTGTACATTATTTCATGATTGTAAAACGGAGACCATAAGCATGCTGACCTAGAAAACATCCTATGAAAGCTAAATTATAACAAAGAAAAACAAATTTCTCTGTATGTGAAGATTACTATCACATGACTTAGTGACCTTGACCTTCACCCTTTGGTCTCTAGCAGCAACAACAACAAATATATGCTACCAATTTTAGGAGCAGACAAGGCTACACATTCATGCAGTGTGAACAGTATGTCTGTAACTCGATTTTCAAACATGTTGAAACATGTACTAAGATTGTTCAATATGCAAAACAAGGCAGGTCAAGTGCACAAATTCGACAAATGGATAACAGTTAAATTGGAGGTCAAATTCAAACAGAACTTACATCATTATTATAAATATAGGACAAATAAGATCATGCCTACAAGATGTAATACATAAGCAACATTATATTTCTTATGAATTTCAATTATCTTAATAAACACTGAAGATTTCATTTTCAATAATCTTATATATTTTTTGCCATGTTTCAAGCTGCAATAGTTATGGAATGTGTGTACATGTACATGTAATCTATCTACGCGTGTATTTGGCACAAGATTAAGATGTTTTTTCAAAAGATGAAATCATTTTTTTCATTTTGTGATGATGATGAGTTTGGATTATATATGATATTTATCATATTTTTATCTACATTTTGTACAAGGAATATCCTATGAAAATGAAAATTTGTCCCCTGCAGAATTAAATCTGTAAGGAACTGTTATATAAATGCCTGAAATAAGTGCTAAATCATGATTACACATTGTCACATCTCATGCATTATGAAGATTGGAAGAAATGCTCAACTATTCTCCACATGTTGTAATTTAACATCCGACACACTTTAACACTCATCTTCTATCAGTATAGTTATACATCCCATATCTCTAACATCACATGTGTTTTCATCACTATAACCTATTCCTTTTTCTGCTCTTTAAAATAAAATCCACGACTTGTTCTTTTGTTAAAATCCATGTGAATATTCTAATATTCACACTCTTAAATAAAATCCTCACCTTTCTACAAGTAAAATGCAAAGTTGACTCGTTGTTCTGATTTAAAACTTATAAAGCTTACTCCATATAACACAAGCAGAGATGTAGATAACATATCTATGTCTCTGACACAAGACAAATTGATCAACAATATTCTGACACAAGACAAATTGATCAACAATATTCTGTCAGTTTAATCAGCGATGATCAACATCTATCGAGTTAAAAATATTCCTGACGTTATCATTCTCGAGAAAGGAGAGTTTGATTTTATTCCAGTAAAATAATCGTGTTAAAACCACTAAGATCATGTCGAATGTTATCAGCATCGTGAAGTGTTGGCTCTTTTATCCTCCATTATTTGCCGTATTCTTTTTCTTATTCTTTCATGTCTGAAATATATCAGAAAAATATCATAGAAGTAAATCTGTCAAAAACAAATAAGCCGCGTCATGACAAAACCAACATAATGGGTTTGGGACCAGCATTGATCCAGACCAGCCTGCGCATCTGTGCAGTCTGATCAGGATCCATGCTGTTCGCTATCAGTTTCTCTACTTGTTATAGGGTTTGTAAGCAAACAGCATGGATCCTGATCAGACTGCGCGGATGCGCAGGCTGGTCTGGATCCATGCTGGTTGCAAACCCATTATGTTGGTTTTGTTGTGACGCAGCTCAAATATCTATTACACTGATGGCTGCACTCCAGTTAACGCACTGTGCATGTATAAGTATACGATTTAACTCTGACACATTTTCAACAGAAAGGTCCCCAAACTATGATACAATGATATGTTGTCTACCAGAAACTTTTTTCTTCTTATTTTTTTTTTAAGTATAATTCTCTAAATGAAATAAAAACAAATATTTACTTGGCTTTCAATCGTCTAACTTCTTTTTCCTCATCCTGTTTGAATTTATCCAGCAATCCTCGCAACACTGGTTCAGGTATATTCAGTAATTGTTCCACCTGTGTAACAATATATTAAATAGATTATTTCTTACTTTTTATTTTCAAAGTATGTTCTTGACATCTTGACATTCAGAACATCTCTTGAAATCATTGAATCATTTTCTTTTATTGTATCTTGTTAAAGTCAATTTATATCATGTAAATGCATAGAATGATAGGAAATATAATGTATATTAATTATTCACTGATCATTATGTTTTTTCCAAGTAAAAATGATATACAGCAGTTGATGGTATTTCAGATGGTTGAAAATGGTATTCCTAAAACCAATACACTTTGTCGCATATCTTTCTTACATCATTTTATGGAAACACACCTAATTTTTCCTTGAAATTTCTATAAATACCTCTGTTACTAATAAACCTCTAGTTTTGCTTACATGGAAATTCAGGTGGTAGAACAGCTTTCATTGTATTACCAAGGTGATTATTGGTGAGCGGCTAGGTATATCAAATGGTTTAATTTTTTCATACATAGTGACAATAAACACAGACTACATCCAAAAAAAAAAACAACTGCATTTATATGTTTTACTATTTTTGACTTATCAATGCATATTTTATGATCCTGTAAGTTTTCAGATCCTGCCAACATCAAGATTTATATAACTTTTAACAACAAAAAAATGCAATAACACTAAACACTTTACCTCCTCAGGTAGAGGCGTGTCCTCTAAAGGTGCTTCTGTGGTAGGGGAGGAGTCACCTGGAATGTGGGCGGGGTTTACAGCAGGGGTGTTATCTGATCGATCACGTATATATATTTTAATAGAGTCTGTTGGACTAAAAACAAGTCTCTCTAATAATGGAATGTCTGTATCTTTCAACAATTTCTCACCTGAAACAAAAGCGAAAAACAATGAGTCTAAAAGTGGCAAGACACATATATTTTATAATTAATGCAAATTTCAACCTCCAATGGAACTAAGGGAGAGTGTTGGTTCAGTGGTTAAGGTCACTGCATCTCAACCAAACTATTATGGGTTTAAGCCGTACTGAGGTCACAGCCATGTTTCCTCTTATGACACCAGTACTGGTTAGTTCCAGATAGCAACTTGCGTGTTGTTCAAAATCTGCTTCTAACTTTCATTGTAATCAAAGATCAAATAAATATTTTAAATATAATGACATTTTCTTCTTATATATTGTATACATGTATACAATAGTAATTTAATTATTGGAATTGTTTATTCAGAAAGATTGATTGTATTAAATATAAAGAGATAATATTGCACATCATAAAGGTAACTTTTACATGTTCAGCCACTATGCAAATGATAATGAAACCTTGAACGTAAACAACATACTTTGTACTTGATTATCTCATTAGCACATGCAAGTCATTTGATGTACTTTTATGCTCATTCAATTAAAATTTATCAAGTACAATGAAAAACATCACTTTTTGGAACATCAAAAGAAAACAGACATATACAAGTAGACACTGAAAAATTTAATTACCTTCTTGTTCAGTTATTATAAACAAATGATATTCCTCTGGCTGATTTTCAACCTGCAAAGAAACAAAATTATCTCCCTTTAATAATTAAATACCTCCTTCAACCATCAATGACCTCCCTTCATACCTTCATTCATCACTAACTTATAAAAATAATCTTTCAGCACTTGTGGCAGATGACAACAGACTTGTGCATTCTTTTAGAGCCAGGGTAGCCTACATATCAGTGCAATTTGACAAGACTCTGTATTGACAGCTGCTTTATCTAAGCTTTTTATACTGACCCCCCCTCCTCCCCCCCTTAAACTGTTCCATATTCAAACTGGACAAGTCCATTACATGTATATTAATTCAACAGTGTTAGCATTTAACTTTAAGGAAGCTCAAATTTAAATCTTAAAATGTGTATTACTTTACTCATTACATGAGTTTTGTTAAAGGAACTCCACTGCTGTCCATTAGCCTAAACACATAAAAATGAAGATTTTTACATAGTTTAACTGAGGCACTTAAAATGGGCAAGTTTGAAAAAATTAACACAGAAATATACTCAGAATTAAACTGTAAATCTAAATTAAATTTGTGCAATTCATAGCCGAATTTGAGTTAGAAGCATTGCAATGCTTTTCATTATTCATTCAACATTCATAGCAATAAAAACAAGAATGCGGAAATTATCTGAATTTTTTTCCATGTCCAGACCTACATCCAATGGAAATCTTCAAAATTCAAATTAATCTTGGAAAAATTATTTCCAGGCTCATCATGGTAAAAAACCTCAGAGGATTCCCTTTAAGATGAAACTAAATTTGTATGAATAAAGTAAGTTGCATGAATAAAGTAACAATATCAAATCAGCAAAAATAATTTACATTGATATGTATATTTCTAGACAGTAGCATAAATATTTATATCATACAAACAATAACAGATTTCTCTTCCATTATTTTTACTTACATGTACGTAGTTATATTTGAAGTATTTCATCAAGGGTGTCAAAATGATGGAAGTATAAAACACTTACCTTAAATTTTTCCAGTAAAGTTTTGATGACCTGACTCACTGTCATTTTATTATCTACAGTAACACTGGTACAACTTCCCAGTACTGGTGTAAATACACTTGTCTGAAAGTTTGCGATAAAATGTTACATTACATGTGTAGGGTGTTAAAGAAATACCAGCATAAATAACAATTTCAATCAACATGTCCCTTGCATGTGAAGAAGATTTTGAAATATCAAATTAAAACTAAATGTAAACTATGGAGATGTGCCACAGACACCAGTATAGCACCAGGCCAATCTGCCCAACCACAATCTGACTTTAGCATTTTGACATCAACATCGCTCATACTAAACAATGGACAATTTCAATTCAAAATGGAACAGGTTTATTATATAAATTAAACAAAGTACTTTGTGTGTTTTTTTTCTCTGTTTATAATTCAGATTACCATACAGTCTGTGTGTCATATCAAATATTTGCCACTTTAGTGTGTGACAAAATTTCTCTACATGAAATATATTTGTAGTCAATTAATTCTTATGTTTTATCAATCCCAAAAACATGACAGTTAACAGGTGAAAGGAGAAAAAACAATTTCCATGATTGTGTCCAAGTTATTCAACATGAATGTGAGAATATTTTGTATAAACATGTGACACAGTCTTGAAATGCTATTATACAAATTTGGCTGTCCTTAACAATCATGTCATGTTAAATGTATTTTTTTCTTTTCAGATTATTTTATCTTTTTATATCTCATTTGCACAAGGCTTACTCAGATAACTGAATTCACAAAATATTATGTTGACAGTTCTGAAACAGGTAGTAAAGAAGTACTTGATCACAAGTGTTTTATTGACATAAATTCTTCATGTAAACATCAAGAGAGAGGTAGAGGAAGTCACCGTTTAAATCATCAACAGTATGTGTACTAAAATTAAAACAATTTTATTCCTACCAAAAATGGCTGGTTTGTCTAGTTTTTATGCCAATTTTAATACGTTTTTGGTCATTTCTTGGTGGTTATTCCAAATAACAGGCTTTCCTGGATAACTAACCAGTTATTACAAATTCTATGAAAATATTAAGATTTTGTAAATTTCGAAACAATTTCAACTTTGATTATTTAATTCCGCCAGTTTTGTTAGCATTAAACAGTATGTAATAATACAACTATTGAATAATGTGTTTCAGTACAAAACTGTTTACACACAGGGAAGAGAATATGTAAGCTGCCAAGTAGAAGCTGTAGAATGGCATACTGAGGGTCACCAGTTCAAGTCCTGGCTTTAAGGTTATAAAACTCTTTTTTTTTAGGGATTCATTTCAAATCTTATGATTTTCATTGGTTAGTGTACATTCTGTTCAAGTTTCTGATCAATCAAATACCTTAGATCTGTGTTTGAGCATGGGCAATTCCTAAGGATGCACATACTTCTTCACAGAGTGATATTTTATATCTATGTACGGATATTATTCTATTCTCACTTACATCATAATTATATATATGGCCATTAATTGATGCCCTTTTCCACTTGTTAGGTCGGTCACCTCGATATGCTACCGTGTTTGACTTCTTGATATTTGTCCGTCTCATTACTACCTCAGACGAGGGCGAGGAAATCACACTATCATCTAACCCAGCACTAAACCGACTTTTACGAGGTGAAGTTGGACTTCCATTTGTTGATTCCTAAAAGTTACAAATAAGTATAAAAGAATATGCAAGTATATATTATGTGTTATATTAACTATGCCTTTATAAATGTATTATATTAACTATGCCTTGCAGCTCGAGCTTTATTAACTTTCAACCATATACAGGGCTATATAACCTGTAAAAATCTTTATAAAGTTCTAATAAAATATTACTATATAAGTGTTTATAAGTATACCTTACAGATTAAGTTTTTAGAAAGAACATTATTACTTGCTAGAATTTGTTTCACTGGTATAGGTATACAACACTTTTTAAAAGTGACTTTTATCTCAGAAAATACCACAGCAATTATTCAGCCATATTTACAAATCTTAAATTCTGGACAACTAACAACTTGCAACTTGTCCATAAAATTTGATTTAAGTTTAACGTCACAAGTGTATAGAAGTAACACCCAATAACCTTGCATGCATGTTCTTGTCAATTTTACATAGGTGTGTTGGCATTACAGGGTAATAAAACATCAAACCATGTGACATATACTACACTTTCACATACGCGTTTCAAGCAGTCACACTTCAGAAAAACCACTTAATGTGCAAGTTTTCTCATAGTCATTTTTTCATGTGTACAAATAAGTGATTTAACCTTTTCCCTCATATAAGCATGTTTTTTGACGGCTTTTTGCCACACACCCCCCCCCCCCTTTTTTTTGAGGCCTCAAACAGTTAAAAACACTGTTTTTTCGTTTGAGAAATGTTGTTAAAAAAAGTGACCATTTTTTCGGCGCCATCCCCCATTCAAATGTTACATCAGGGGATTGCCAGAAGGGGGGATGTGCCCCCTTCTGTTTGGGGGGTTTGAAGGGGGGCGGTAGTCCCCCTCATTGCCAAGAAAATTTTGGACATGTGACAGGCTAAAAATGGCCTCAGGTCGATCTTAGGGTAACTAGTAACCAACGCTGAAAAACCTTTTACTCTATCTCAATTCATTGAGAAGATGCAGCACTTTGAAATCAGTTTTGATGGAAAAAAATTTTTTTGGCAATTTTGTTCTAGTCAACATTTGTGCCAAGTTTCATCAATATTGAAGCATTTTTCATAGTTTCATAGCAGTTTGAACTTGTTACAGGAGGCTTTTCAATGAAAATGGCCATTTTTCGCAATATATATGCTAATGGGGTAAAAGGTTAAGCTAGCCTTCAAAAGGACTTCCTACACAAAAAAAACCCCGCTTAAACCTGTGCTAATACATGTATGTTTAAAAAGCCCTTACAGCTACCAGATGACTCTAGTTGAGTAACACAAATGTTTCTTCATGTTTATAGTATTTGTGTCAAGCAATTTCAAGATACCCCATAAAATTCAAGAGTTATGGTCTGCATATTATTAGGCCAGTATTCGAAATTTAACCTCACAATGTGACCATAACCTTTGCCTTTGAGCAATTAAAATTATTCCTTATGTGACACTACATCCCATTGAGACTGACTATGTGCTTTGTTATTTGATAATCCCTCAATCTATGTCAAGCAGGTTCCACAAAAATAACTTTCACTCAGTCAGTTGTGTATAAAGTATAACTTGAATTAAGAATACTTGCATACATGTGAACTCTCCCACTTTTGGCGGGAGACTCCCATTTTCTCCGCAGCAGCCATATTTAAATATTTTCAAAGATTTTTCTTAAAATAAGGTTTTTTTTTAACAAATTAAAAGAAATCTCCCTATTTTTGATGTCAGAACTTCCTTCTTTGTATTTTGAAAATCTAAAATCTCCCTCTTTTTGAAGAAAAATCTCCCACTTAATCATCAAAAAAAGTTCACATGTATGTACTTGGTATACCTTTCTTAAAACTCTTTTTTGAAAAATTTTGATAGGTCATAAGGTTCCACAAGACAAAGTACTATTATCTTCTCGTTATTTTGTAACTGTACATGGTTATGATATTTAAAAACTTAACAAGAAAAAGTTCAACTTGAGTGAAATATCCTAAATAATTATTGTAATTGTAAGAAATTACTTACATGGCTGACCTCTGTGAGGGGCTGCAGGTCAGTTTTATCCCCAATTACACTGAAGCGTTTCTTTGGTATAGTTATTGCAGGTACTTCATCACAATGCTGTAATATGATTGGCTTTTTCAATCCCCAGTAGATCCTTAATGGACCTGATACCCGTACATTGCCTTCATCCTGATAATAGAACAGAACAGAATAAAACTTTGTTATTCAATACAAATGTATGTCATGAAGTATCTGTTCATCATTTAAAGCAACCTTCAACTTTTCTAAAGAGTAAATGTTATTTTTAGCTAAATCGTTTCATAAAATTGTCATATCAAAAGAATTAAGGTATAAAATTAAATTTGTCTTTGATAAAATACATAAACAATAAGGAACCCCCTCGATATCTCTTATCTACCTGTCGGCTCTCAAAAGTGAATTAGTAAAGAGGATAATTTGTTTCTCAATCTTCTATATTTAGAAACAAACGTCACTATGTGCTATAAATAGCTCTTGGGGCGCTGTTTTGAAGAAAGCTTAACAGTGATATGATGCACTTTTCCAAGATAAATATACTGAAGTATGTAGTTTGAAACAACACAAAATTGTTTTTCCAACAGAAAATAAAAGCAGAATGCCACTTTAAACTTTGTTTACAAAAAGCATGAAATACAAATGATGTTAGCAAAAGATGTCTTAAATGAACATCCCAATTTCATAGTCATTAAATGATGTTTAAGTTAACACGATTTGTCGAACAGGATTTTCATGTAATAACCACTAAAATACAAAATGTAACTACAAGTAATCATCACTTTGATAAGGTGCTGGTATAATAATTAAGCTAATGGGTTGAACAAAATTGGATAGTCAATATTTCAGGCTACAAACACCAAAATCTTCACTAGATGTGGATCATACATAAATTTGAAAATCTGAAACTATTTATAACATCAACCTGAAACCTGCTGGAGCAAAAAGTGCTTAATATATGGTGGTGGTGTTAGTAGTTTTCACTCCGGATCACGGCAGTATGCCACATTGAATTCACCAGAGCACAGTTCAACAACCGTATCGTTCCTGGGCAGGCTGTCAAGCAGTTTACCAGTACTAGTTGCCTTCACTTTCACAAGGAACTGAAACTTTTGTACATACCAGAGCAGAGGTACAGAGCGAATGACTGTAGAAAAGATTTCATGATTAATTGCAACGAAAGTGACCTGTGCCGTCTAAGAATTGAACCTGGGTGACCCGATTCACAGTTCAACGCTCTACCTATTGAGCTAACCGGACGGCTATCAAAAAGTGGTTAGCTTTTGCCACCAGTATTTATAAAGAGCTAGGCCAGCCTTCATATTTGGGCAATGTGATCAGGCTATATACTGTTGGCAGATTATAACTTAATTTTTCATCTTAATATCCTTAAATGGATAATGGACAGTTCCAAAAGTGGGAAATGGATAAGTCCAGTTAAAAAATTCACCAGGTTAGAGATTAAATAAGTTTCCATGGATACAATAAAATGTTACTATACCTCTGTTATGTTTAAAGCTTGGCCCCGTTTGTTTTGATGATGCTCATTGTAAGATTGCACACGTTTAAATAGCTCAGCACCCCTGAAAATATACAGAATAATAAAATATACATCACATCATTACCAAACTAAGAGAGTGAACAATAAAATTCATCATGTTAAATTTACATGATAATGTTGCTATTTAAGATGTTCGTAACACGCAAATGCCACAGCCCTCCACATACCAAATAGTCCTGTTAATCAAATTTAAAGACATAAGTTATTCTTTCAATTCAAAACTATGACCCTGAATGTCTGGGGGTCAGTGTCATTCATAAGTGTGAAGGACATATTTTAATGCCATAACATAGAAGTATTATATACAGATATTTTGTTTCATAGCTCACAGGATGACTAAAAAGACGGTCTGCATCTGTAATTACATAGCATACAGTAATACATATTTTAACATGACAGGATAAGAATAATAACTTAAACTTCTGGATCAAAATCAATATTAGTTTATATGTATAGTGATTTCAGAATTGATTCCTAGAACTTTAATTGGATAATGACTAACCAATCAATTAACTGCGTCTGACTGATGTGAATGAATGAGAGAATGAAGAAATGAAGGAAAGAATAAAAGAATATAGGAAGAGGAAAGAAAGAAAGAAGGATAAACAGTCAGACAAAGAGTCAAGAAATAGGTTTGTTCAACCATACTGAATCAATTGATTAATTAATACTGAATATTCATGTTGAATTAAATGGAAATAAGTTGAATTTTATTAATAGATGCATGTTGATACAACAAAAAATAAGCTGCATACGTGATCATTCTGAATATTATAAGTTCAACAATAGAAGAAAATATCTGATATTTTAACAATATAATCACACAGTGTGCATGGTTCAATGTGCCATGATAAATCTAGTACTGAATCTAGCATCATGAATCAGTCTGCATACAGTAAACAATGTGAATTATCATACAAAAACATAACTTCATTTACTGTCTAAGTATATACATATTAAATACACTGTTATAACCTAAAAGCTCCAAGATCATTGTAGGAGAAAACATATATTCAAACATAACATCATTATCCAGATTGCACCCTTTCAAATAACACTGACCTCATTATCCCAAGAAGCAAATCTCCCTGTTTTTTTCTCTCTCCAGATCCTCTGTATTTTTACAAACCTAATTACATTTCCAGGATGAAAAAAAAATCATGCTTAGATGATGTACGATAAGTATAAAAATATCTCCTTCCAAATTCAAACATACCTTTTCCCAAATCGGGACACTAGAACATAGTAAGATAGTGTTAGGAACACGGCAAGCATGTTTACATTTTCTGGCGTAGGAATATAATATGTTCCAGTTGTTTGAAATACCCTGCTGATATATCAATCTCTTAGCTGATAACTCTGTTTACCTGGAGAAATCTCTAGAAAACACCCACAGTAGAATGCCAACGGTTTCAAGAACTTTTTTTACTGTACTATATAATGCAAGTAACCAGACAAAATTTTTCTGCGCAGTGTACACTTATATAAAACCTTGAAACATCAGTATTTTTAGAAATGAGAAAGTAAATTAGTTCTTAACACTTATTGTAAAAGAATCTACAAATTATATCATAGACATACCATCAAATTTGTCTGGTCGTCATGGAATTTATGAAATATTGCCAAATGGAACTTTATAATTTATCCTTTAGCCGACATGACCTGAGCATACCAAGATCAGTTTGCACATCCAGATTAGAGTCAGCACTGTTCATTGAATTTCCCTTAAAATCATGAAAGGTTTTGTCAAACAGAGAAAGATGGACAATTCCATTAAAGATATTTGGGATAATTAACTTGCAACAGTGTGGACTGTTGTGAATTATTTCTGATTATCTATTAAAACTATAGGGGTATTTTAAAATGAGAAGGCATTAAATGAAGTTTCTTGTTAATTAAAGATGAAGGAATAAAATTATATAAAAGACAATAACACTGTTTGAATATTTTAATTTTCTTCCTAAATAATAACATTTTAAAATCCTTAATCTTTTGATTAATCATTTATAAGTACTAGTTGCTATAAAAACAAGTCTGGTGCCACCTGTATAGTGCCCAGGGGACGGGTGCCAATCTTAATATATATATATGTGCAGTCTATAGCCAAACCCTAGGCAGTTGCCATCCATTTTCACATTTTGTAAAAGAAATATGTTAAATTGCCATTGATCATTTCAAATTCAAACCAGGGGTAGTTCATTATTCATTATCAACAATGTTTGGGTTAAACTTCAATTACAAACTAACTCAAGATTTCTGAATATACATTTTTAACCTTCCTCTTCATAGAATACTATAATACATGTAGCAATCCCTCCACCCTACCCTGTCAAAAGTACAAGAAATATCTGTATTCCCTGATTCCCTGTATAACATGTGCATTTGTAATATTCCCTCTAGTGGCAGCTAGTGTTTATCTTTATGAAGTGGAATAACATGCTGATAAGCCACTGGCTGATAGTTTATGTCAAATAAAACACACCTGATAGAAAAGTAATCACACATCTGAAAATGTCTTATTTCAAAATTCTTAGACATTTTACATAAACATGGAAGCTCTTGTGATCCAAGTTACAGCTCAAACCTAGAGATTCAGGCACCTTTATGAGTTATAACAAAGTATTAATTGTAGAATATCACTAAGTATATAATTACATGTATTTAATTAAAAAAAGTTTTTTGATACACAAGGTATATAAAGTTTGAAATAGAGCTGATACTTTAACACCTAGAAAAATAAAACCAATTTCAGTCTTGTTCAGTAAAATTATTTCAAATTTGACTTTTTTTTGTTTCCTTGTCAAACATAAATGCAAAAATATACATATATTTATTATTTTACAGATATTATATAAGTAAACAATTGTAAGAATTCAAGTAATTGTAAGCTTATAAAGACTGGATTCGTGGGAAAGTTTGTTCAAGTTATTTTCAAGAGCTGTGGTTGCACACGGTGTCAAAATACAGAAACAATGTGTCAAAATACTGAAACATGGTATCAAAATACTGAAATACATTTTAAACCTCTTGAAACCCAGACTTCAGAATAGTATTAATACATACAATATTCTATCTTATAAAGAATAATAAGGTTCTGCGAGTGATAAAGACAAATTCAATGCTGGTTCTTTATTGTTCATAAAGAAAAGAACTATTTCTGATTAGGCCTTATATATAAAGACATTTTTTCATGTAATAGCAGTGGATCAAACTCACAGCCAATGGATTTCTTTACTTTTCCTGTTCTTGGTAGGCACTTTATGGTACCGTTATAGAAACGTACGGTTTTCGGACCTTGTCATTTCTGCGGGCTAGCTCTATTGCATAGTTTCAAGCCTGTTACACTATGTTGTATCCTCATAAGTACAGAAAAACTTAACCAGAAATATACATTATGTGGTCATGTTTGGTGCGCCTATATTTCAACACACAAGAATGATCTTTTAGTCTCAGACAAATATTTAGATTAAAGTCGAAGGCTTGGTTAAAAAAAAACAAACAAAAAACAACAAAAAAACCAACTAAGTGTAAGTGTAATGGAAAAATACCAAAAATACCTTACTACTACCACAGTATATTCCTATAATAGTGCAAATCTCCACAAGTTTTCTATGGAGCAAAGAATTCATTTTATAGCCTACCATCTGTGCAGGTTTTTTGGCATGCTGTGTTTAAGACTTCATAAAATTACATAAAAATTCTATAAATGACATCTATCCCTAATCAAGGTAATTTAAATGTCTATGAACTGAATTAATATTATGTTACAGTGATCTTACATAAATGTCTATCCCCAAGAGGTCCAGGAAAATTGTATAAAATTGTGAAAGGAAATTCAGTTTCAAAGGAAGATTTAATACACTTTACAGTGTTAACATACAGATCATATTTATATTGTAAGAAATCCCTCTGTGACAAAACATATCCTGCTGAAAATTTTTGCCCTATATTGAATTAAGAAGAGTTCATCTTAAGTTTAAGGGGACTTCAGTAGATTTTGAGATACTACCAAAGATACAGATGTTCTGACACCAGACTGAGTATGATAGCTTCCAATTCATGGAATTCAATTCCAATTCCAATTCATTTTATATAACCCGAGTTGCAAAATTTAATAAATTTGCGTATAGCAAATTTAAGGGCAGTAACTCTTTGCTGATACTCAGTAACTAAAGGGAGGCAATTAAAAATTTTACACAAGTTTTTTAATCTAACATATTTTCCAGTTAACTAGACTTGTTTTATACTTTCATAAAATTGCACAAAAGGTTTCAAATTTTAAGCATATAAAGCTATATTTTATGAAATATTTTTATAAAGTTTATCAACAGTTAAACTGTATTGTTTCCATATCTTTATGGTCGATTTTACAAAAAAGTTGTGATATAGAATGTCTCCATTATGTAACACACACATGAATATTGTACGTAAACAGAATAAAATGTTATAAAACAAAATATTATACTGCTGTTTTAAGTTTTAAGTTGCTTTAGCAAAAATTTCATACATGTGCCACTTGCATTTAAGGCATAATATTTCTATTATTCTTTCTCACAAGCATTTTTGGAATGGTTCATTTTTTAAAATTCAAACTATAATTTTTACCACTGATATATTCATAATCGTATTTGCACAATCTCATGACGGAAAAAATAATGTATGATATTTAAATAGACTTATCAGCTGGCATTGACATTTCACTAACAGTAAATTTAACTTTTATCAGCTTTTGCAAACATAACGATACTTCCTGAATGAGGGATAATATTTTTGTCGGCCACATTTGAAATTCGATAAAAAAACTGCATGCCTATATACTGCTAAATTCATACAAATTGAATAATGTTTTATTGTGCGGAAAAGGCCAAGTATCTCTATCATTGTACAATACAGACACAAAATAATGAGCCATTTAAAATATGGTATCTGGGAAACGAAGCTATGTAACTGCAGATCAAGAATGGGAAAAGGCAACTTTTATTTTATTACAAATTTTTAAGTGACTGAAATTATTTGTTCAAA